CTGTTGTTTTGCCATCGTGTTCTGTGAGGGCGTGGTTCTTCACCGATCTTGCCGTTCATTCGTGCTGCAAAAATAATATAACTACAGTGTGGCTATTGCACTTTGAAAATAATTAAAAGGCCTTTTTATTTATTTTTAAAACCTGTTACAGAAAATTAAAATAACTTATTTTCAATAATATGTTGTAATATTAAATATTTGCATTAAAAAAACGCATGCAATGTTTTGGAATGTCGACATATGTTTTAAATTTTTGAGTTAACGTTTTTGAAACAAACATTTTTAGTTAATTTGTCGTATATTACTAAGTAAGCATCATTCCCTTTGTGACTGAACACTCCCGATAGCTAAACAATGACGTACCCAAGTTACCCATAAGCATAAAGAAGGCGACGGTCCGCACTTGAGATTGCAAATCGAATGAAATACCCAGTAGATTGTACTAGAAGCATCTCCTTGATCGTTCAAGTTTCAAAGGATCTTTTATGCATGAATTGATGCTGAGCTGGACCACTCAATTAACATTTCTAACAGATACTCGGTTAAATAGACTTGCATATGGTGTTCTTGTGTGCTTGCGAATTTAATACTAAAACTTTCAAATATTTTACATAGGGAGAATATAAGAATTTTCTTTTACTTCGCATGCGGTGTTTACTAGTCAAGTTCATCGACCCTCATAAATCTTTCAAAGAGTGTTCCCATCTTTAAAAGAATTATCGAATCTTGTTTGCTAATAGATAACCTCTTTTTATACTTCTTTAAAGGGGTGACAAATGAACACACAGTCTAGCTGTTGAACCAATTTCAACTTGTCACACTTAAGAATTAAGATGAAATGCGTAGTTATCAGAAAAAGTATTTGCTTCTCGCCTTATCACACGTAACATAGTAGGTATCATTACGTTGCTATTTTACGCTAATAGTACTATTTGTAATGATTTCTTAAATTTACGCGAACACTACACATTGAATAAAACTATTATTTACGGATTTTATCGCGTTTAATTACTTTAATTTATTTTCATTATTATCCCGACGTTTCGGGTGCTTTACAGCACCCATGGTCACGGGGGGGGGACTGAGATGTTTGACGTCCCAATGTCATAGTTAGTCCGGCTACCTTCAGTTTTTTTAATATTAATTTTTGGTCCGATTTACGCAAAACGAGCTTATAGTATCATGAAGTCTTGCAGTGGTATGCTTGGGTTTGGGTTTAATTTTGTTAATTATAGGATCCCAAGCAGATGGTAGCACCCAACCATCTTCTCTATTGATATTTGGATGTTTTTTAATTTCAATAGCCTCGCGTATCATCCTTGGTAGGAATCGGTGTTCTTTTGCGAGAATTTGTGGTTTATCAAATCTAATGTAATGGTGGGGACGATCTTGAACATGTTCGCAGACTGCAGACCTCCGACGCTCCGGGAAGTCTGCAGTCTGACCGATTCCTACCAAGAGGCTATTGAAATTAAAAAACATCAAATTTCAATAGAGAAAATGCTTGGGTGCTACCATCTGCTTGGGATCCTATAATTAACAAAATTAAACCCAAACCCAAGCATACCACTGCAAAACTTCATGATACTATAAGCTCGTTTTGCGTAAATCGGACCAAAAATTAATATTAAAAAAACTGAAGGTAGCCGGACTAACTATGACATTGGATCGTCAAACATCTCAGTCCCCCCCGTGGCCATGGGTGCTGTAAAGCACCCGAAACGTCGGGATAATAATAAAAATAAATTAAAGTAATTAAACGCGATAAAATCCGTAAATAATAGTTTTATTCAATGAGTACTATTTGTGCTGCATTCATAACATAGTGTTAGTTTGTTTCTCCTACTACGTCTTAGGATTATGGACCGTCTCATAAATAAAAAGGATACCTGGACCTAGCTGCGTTGCGGGACTAAAGAGACGATGCATCTTATGTCGTTTATTAACTCAGAAAATAGTGATGAGGTTGAATAGTTAACATTTTAAAAGCGACAGTAGCCTAATAAACTCAGCTTCCGTCGTGAACCACTTGAGAATAGTAACAAAAACAACAACAACGACGATCTGTGCCCCGTAAGCCCGTGACCATGCAGAGAAGCACAACTTCGGTAATCTATATACCTATATATAGAAAACAAATGGTGTCCGTAAGTCTCGTAAAACTCAGAAAACGGCTGGATCAATTTTGATTAAATTTTATAAGTGTATTTCAGTAGATCGAAACAAAACAAAACCCCCCAATAACAACTATCACAACGAAATATATCGTCTACATTTGCACCCTCAACGTAAGATTTTTCGTTATCTTCTGATCAAAAGCGTGCGCGGGTGGAAGTTTGCTAGACAGAGCTACTGACACAGAAGGATGTTATTCCTTGGGGGAGGCTTTTACCCGAATCGAGGTCCATGCATTAAATAATTATTTAGTTTAATAATTAAAGAAAATAATAATTAAACTAATAACAAAATAGAATTTATAATTAGAAATTAAATTCGTCTAAGTAAAACAAATTTAATTAAACATTATATAATAATAAAGTATAGTGATACGACCTGTGGACCTTCAAGAAAAGAGCTTACTCCTTTCTAAAGGGCTGGCAACGCACCTGCAATTCCCCTGGTGTTGTGGTTGATCATGGGCGGCGGTAGTCACTTAACATCAGATGGCTCACCTGTTCGTTTGCCCCCTCTTCTATAAAAAAAAATTAATAAGTTACCAATTGTATCGTTTAATATGCACTATGCATGAAATCAAAATAAAGCTTTATTATTATTTGGAGTATCTATATAGTTTTCTCGTCTGGTTGGGTTCTATAAATATATAATTATAAATTAAAATGAAAAGATAAATGTACATAAATATCAATAAAATAAAATAAATACAAAAACTACATAAATAAATAAGATCCAACCAGATGGGAGCCCTCGGCAGGGGAGACCAGACGGCCGAGGGTTAGGGGGAAAGGGAAAGAAACCGGCGGACGATGCGGGCGGTATCGAGGAGCACCGCCTTCTGCATTTGAGCCCGGAGCGGTCCGTCACGGAGTCCCAGTCGCCTCAGATGACACGAGAGGCTGACTGGGATTAGCCCATTCGCAGAGACAACTACAGGAATAATTTCGGTCGACACACCACCCCACATGTCGGTCACCTCGTGAGCCAGGTCCAGATACTTTGTTTGTTTATCTGTTTCGGCTTTCACGACGTTCTCGTCCTACGGAATGGTAATGTCGACCAAAAATATCCTTGACTGTGCCCGGTCCATCAGCACAATATCAGGCTTATTCGCAAGAATAGTCCTGTCTGTGATGATGGCCCGGTCCCAGTAGAGCCTGGCGCTGTCATTTTCGAGCACGGCTTCCGGCAAGTACTTGTAATACGGCAATTTCCGGTCCACGAGACCGTATTTCAAAGCGAGCTCCTGGTGTAGAATTCTGGCTACTAGGTTGTGCCTGTGCAAGTACTCGAGTTAGAAAGCGCCGAACAACCGGAGATGACATGCCTAAGTGACTCCCCCGGGATGGCGACAAGCTCGACAGACGCCGACAGTGCCATCCTTTAGGATGTATCTCCGATAGTTGTTGGTCTTAATAACCTGATCCTGTATTGCACAGACAAAACCCTCGGTTTCCCCGAAGAGGTCACCGAAACGTAGCCAGTTGAGGAAGGCGGCTGTATCTACGTGAGGCTCATGTAGAGCCCTGTAGTACCTCCCATGGAGCTCCTTCTCCTTCCATACGCTCTCCCGGTCGGAAATGCTCTGTACTGCCGGATCTTGCCATTGCTCGTTGGCTAAGGATAGAGGGGTAAGTCCTTTATCACTAGAAATGACGTCATTATAGAATGGATCATCCGATCTCGCCAGGAAGTAACGACGGAGGCTGCACAGTTCGCGATTATACATGGTGAGCGCGCTCAGGAAGCCGCGCCCACCATGCTTTCGCGGCAAGTACAGCCTCATTACTGACGATCTCGGATGATGCATCCTATGGGACGTCATGGTAGTACGGACTTTTCTATCCAGGGCGTTAAGTTCAGTCTGACTCCACCTGAGTATGCCAAAGGTATACATGAGGACAGGCATGACCCAACCGTTATATGCATGTGTCTTATTCACACCGGACAAAAGGCTGTTAAGCACTTTGGTCAAGCGTGCATAAAACACGTCGCAAACTGACTGTTTCATACCAGCCTCATCGATACCGATGTTCTGTGACATACCCAGGTATCGGTATGTTTCAGCCTCGGAAAGGGCTCTTAAGTTGACGGGCATAGATAAGTCTATGCCCTCAGAGTTAGCAACCCTTCCCCTTTCAACATGGAGGACCGCACACTTATCCGTCCCCAGCTCCATTCCAATAGAATTGCTAAATTCACAAGTGATATTTAGCAATTCCGTAAGATGGGAGCGACTGGAGGCGAATAATTTGAGGTCATCCATATAGAAAAGGTGGGTCACTTTTGTATCTCCCTTCCGAAGCTGAAATCTCCTCCCGGAGCCCTCCAGTAAAGTACTGAGAGGGTTCAAAGAGAGGCAGAACCAGATTGTACTCAGACAGTCGCCCTGGAATATACCCCTTCTTATCCTTATGCGGCTTTCCGCAGGCGTCATCCGCTCGCCCAGATGACAGAGGATCGTACTCCACTGCCCCATACACTGCTCGAGGAAGTCTCGAACTGTACGGTCAATCTTGTACAGCTCGAGGACCCTCTTTAGCCATGTATGGGGCACCGAGTCAAATGCCTTTCTGTAATCTATCCAAGCGGCGCAGAAGTTCCGACGGTTGCGTTTCACCACTTTGCCAATGACCGCGTGAATGAGGAGTGGTTCCTTGGTTCCACGACCGCCGCCCCGACATCCATTTTGAGCGCGCGACATCACCTGATTTGAGTCCAGGTGACGAGCGATTCTCACGCTCGAATGGATGTTAGTTGTCTTGTATATAGTCGGTAGGCACGTGATGGGGCGGTATTTGCTCGGGTCTGTGGCACCCTGATCTTTAGGAACCAAATGAGTGATCCCAGTAAGTGAAGAGGCTTGGGAGCGACTTCTGGTTGAGAGCCTCTTGAAATTGTCGGGCGAGCACAGCGTGACACACCATGAACCCCTTCAGCCAGTAGTGATGCAGCCTGTCAAGCCCCGGACTTTTCCAGTTCGGGGCCCTACGGACCGCCTCAGCTACGTCATCCGGCGTTATGGTGACGGGATCCATGAGCGTAATACCCGTACACTGACTCACCACAACTGCCGTCCAAGGGCCCTCGTTGTGGTTTACGGGCTCTGACCACAGGCTGCGCCAGAATGCGACCGTGTCGGTCTGATTTGGTGCTGGGCCCGTTCCACTTACTATTAGTCGCTCCAATGATTTGTAGAGCCTCTTCTGATCACTCTGGAAGAGACGATTCTGGTTGAACCGTGTCGACCTCTCGGTATATCGCCGAATCCGCTTTCCCCAAGCAGCGATTCTTTGCTTCAGATCGTCTATGCGCTCCGTCAGTTTTTGCGTTATATCCGGCTGGGACAAACTAACATTTGTCCCAGCAAACGCCATCCTGACGGTGCGCACAATTCTTGGCCTGGTATTGTCTGACCTGAAGCATATCCGTCTGCCGATGAGGGGCCCTAGCCCTTGCGATACGTTCTTCAATTCTTATTCTCCAGGCTGGCATAGCACTACTTTGTCCAGTAGCGCGTCCAGCCGTGGTAAGTTTGGCGCCTATAATACGGCAGACTGCCAGTGCGGCGCCAAAAATAATTGAGTCCGTCTCGCAAAGGTCCCGGCTGGGTTTCCAAGTAGGTAACCAGCATTGGGTTCAGAGCCCTCACGACAGCCCGATTTCGCTTGCTTTGGGCTAAGCGGGGAAGTCGCGGTCGATTTTCGAGAGGCGTACTGCGCGTTTCCACAATCGCCTCCTCCAATGTACTCCTCATTTGCTCTAGTTCCAGTTCCTGGGCGACTGTTACGTCATCGTTTGAATCAACCACAACTGGCGTATTCACGGCGGCATCCACATTTGCCGTTTGCTCAGCAAGTTGTGGCGCCGCATCCTCAGCCGCAGCATTTTCACCCGATGAAGGAACAGCCTCACGTCGTAGCCGTTCGAGTTCGGTGACATCAAATGTATTTGAGCGCAAGATATACCGAACTCGGTCTGCCAGGTTTTGCTCGGTGACGGTTACAGATGGCTCCAGCTCAGCAAAAAGTCGATGCATCCTTGCCCGATACGCAAAACCTCCAGTTTCTCCCCCTTTCGCCCTAAAATACGCCCGCAATGCGTTGCTGTTCATCTGGGTTGTCCAACGCATGCGGCGTACTCCACCAGTGGCGGGTGCCGATTGCTGGGCCCGCGAAGACCCTGCCGACACCAAACCAGCTGGTGGGTATGATGGATGCGAGGGGCTGCTGGGTGGTCGTGCAGCACCTCGCGCTCGGCTGGCGGTTCGCATGCTGTCGCGTCCAGCGCCAGCTCCAGACGCGCCCTGGCGACCTCCAGGCAGCGGCCCTTTGCGCGTTCTTCCGTATTCCATCATCCATAGTGGTGGGCGTCATTTAGCGGGAGACGCCCAGACCCGGCGCTGTTTCATGGTGAGGCCATGTGCACAAGCGGGCCTTTGCACCTTCAATTTTTGCCGAGGCACGGCACTAACACCTCTCGGCAAGGTGCTGACTGATTGCGCTGACGTACCGGTTTTGTCACATAACCATTACGTCAGCGGGCGATGGGGTCGTCACTTCCCTACGCCTTTTTATTATTATTATTATTATTATTATTTCAGTAGATCTCTGAATGGTTGCGATTTACAACCCGGTAAGTGGCGCTGTTATTGATCCACCCGAGCGAAACCGAGGCGGATCGCTAGTCAAAAATAATAAAACGTTCATTCTAGCATTTGCGTAAATATTAAAAATAATTAACATTTATTGCATTAAACTTAATTGTAGCCGTGTAGTTCCATTATAAGAATATACACTACCCCATATCGACTCGAGGGTGCCGTAAGAGGCGATAGAGGGAAAATCAAACAGGAGATGCATCAGCATCTTCCTGATAACAATTGGAAATTATGCATAACTGCGGTTGCCAACCCGCTTGCCAAGCGTGGCAACTATGGCCAAATCTCCCTATGAGGCAATCTATGAAGATGGCCTATGTTCAGTTGTGGACTTTTATAAGTTGCAAAGGATGGGATGGATGTGAACAAAAGCAATTGAGAACTAAAGTACGTGGCATGAGGCTCTCATAAATTTACATTGGTTTCGATTCACGCATACCGTTTGAAAGGATCTTGATAATTCATACGCTAGTAATATGAAATATAATTACATTCTGTACCGTTGAATATTTTACACTTGATTATCACCTGCATGTATTTCGTCTTTGTTCATCAGTTGTTGAATCATAATGTTTTTATTTATTCATACAATTGTTTAATTGCTATGTATATCATTTCTATGCAACAATACATCATCATTCATCGACAATGCGTCAGTAGATCCACGCTGCTGTTGTATTATGGCTGTAGCACGATTGGATCAGCTCGACCGGGGAAAGACTACGCTCTCACGGAATACCAGCGTAAAACAACAGCTTAATGCTGCTGTGTTTCGTACGGTGAGTGTAGAGAACCGGAGACCCTTTTTACTGAAAATAAGTACTACCTCTACTACCTTCTTTTTTTACTGAAAGTAAGTAATACCTCTTGGTCCTCAGGGGTGACAACGTGTCTGCACTTTGATTCTTAATGGAGGTAGAATGTTCATATCTTTGGGCCACAACCACTACCCTCTGGTGGACTTTTTGCTCGTTTGTCACCCTTATTCTATGTAAACAAAAAGTAAGAATCAGGTGGTGAATAATTAACAGATTATATGTTTAAGGACTAAAATGACTTTTATTCGCAAAATATGTGTAGGTAAAGGAATGTTCTCTTTAGTGCTAAAAATGAATATCACAAAGTCTGGATCCTTTTGGTGGTGCTGAGGTCGAGTTGTTTACAATTTTTTCGTTTACTCTGTAAAAAGTTCGAAGTGAATTTGAAGTGAAACAACGTCTGTGGTTTTAGTTATTTATATTCTGTCGTATAGACCGTTTGTACATATTCTACATACCTTCACAGCATTATGTTAGTTTTGCAGACTAACACACAAAAGAAAGTATAAAAAAAACAAATATAATAATAAATTCGTAATAAATAAAATTAACGTTTATGATTTTTTTATAAATCGTTAGTACCAAAATGATTTTATTATTTGTATTGTGGCACAAAAACATAAATTATTGTTAAGCACATAAGTTTCAGTTAAATACGTAGTTTACAAAACTAATTGCGTTACGTTTTAAATGAATTAAACATTGATTACTTTTATATTAATTAATAAAGCTTAAAGAGTGTCTCAAAGTTTGCAAACAAAAATTACTCATCGATACTTCTACAGAACGCAGTAGAAAAACTTTTTTTTGCGACGTTGATGGATGCGAATGGCTAACGTTAACTTTAAGAAAGCCAACGCGAACTGCTTCAATGAAGCCACAGACTTCGACTGAAATTAAATAACCAACGAGTTCATGCTCTACGCTGCGAAGTGATAAATTGAGTCTCAGACCCATTGAAATCCCCGTCCTCGTTCGTGTTTTGCATCCAAAACGTGCCTAGTTTTTTAGTTTAAATTTTCTTTCTAGCGCTTATTTGAATTAAATCCTCGCAAGTAGTTGTAAACTTTACACGAGCTGAAATAGCCGTATATTATAAATTATTTTTATTTCAATAATAAAAAGTCAATGTGCGTGTTTGGGACATGTACAGAGTAATAGGATTCCGCTGTAAACTATTAACGAGAATATTTATTTTTTTAAAAACAACTATAAAGATATAATATTCAGCTTGAAGGATAGAGATCTCACGACCCTGCTTTATCGCCAATTTACTGGAGAGGCTGCCATTATTATAATCATTACAAGCAGTCACAAGTTCACTGCTGAACATATCAGCATTGGTTGTAATGATTATAATGATCATGTATTACACACATACATCTATTACAATATTTACAGCAATAAAAATTGTAAACTCCCTATGCGATATTTAAAATTTTGCTTGTCACAAACAGTTAAAAGGCAAATGTACAAAATAACTGTAAATAATAATTAGCTTATAAATCTCCATCTTAAAGTATTTGTAAGCAAGCTAATCTCCCTTTACAACTTGTTACAATTAATCCAATTTCTCGATTTTAAAATATCTGCCTCTATACTCCGAATCCGTCGCTATAGATAGATATTTATAAGGAACCGAATAAATTAGAAAACTATCAGCAAATGGGCACAGCATCCACCTGGTATCAACTCAATATAATAAAAACTGCGGTGGACAAGCCGCCTGGCGAGCGTTGCGACTATGCCATAGTTATTGGGACTGCTTCCCTACTCTTGCCTGCGACTCTTTAAAAAACCTTTTAAAGATGAAAGATCTGTGCCCTACTGTGGTACGTATGTGGATCGTTAGTTTATACAACGGAATGCCATGTATAAGACATACATTCTAATTTTACAAAACGCTCTTCGCTATTCACCTTAAATATATAAAGCCACACAATAGTGTTCTTGCGAGGAAGCAAGCAATTCGACACGTAACAAGTAACAACCCTCACGTAGATTTCTATTGAACAAATCGGTTCCTGTGTATTTATTCGATCGATGTTATATATTATATGATATCGTTGGATACGTAGCAGTTATATTCGGGTTTCTAACGTCTACATTAATAATATTAGAAGAATTAGAAAATGATTTATAAAGGTTTGTTTTGTTGAATATTTTCCAATATTACCAAATTATGATTTTATTTATATTACATAGTTTTATTAATATAAAGGGAGCCATGGTAGTTCAGAGGATAAGCACACGTCTTAACCACTGCAGCCTATCACAGTTCTAGGTATGTTGGTCCCAATTGTAAATGACATAGTTATTTTGCCATGTTATATCGAATCCGTAAACTTGTTTGATTTTTCTTTTAGTTGATACCTATGACACACATAAGAGGCAGAGTCGCAAATTATCGAAAAGGTATTTCTTACATAACCGTCACAGCATTCCGTTGAATAAAATTTCATCTTGTTATCACGTTCTGCAGTTATCGTACGAGTACAAACTGACTAAAAGAAATGCTAGATAACTTTCGAAAACGCCGAGAGATGGCGGAATCCGTGTTTATAGCCCAGGACAGTCCATGACTTAAAGTGAGTTTCTCCTATTCCTATTATTTATGAAGTAGTATATCAACATTGGATTAATAATAGGATTTTAATTACTTTACTGCTTATCTAAACAGGTCGTCATTCTGTTATACACCTCGACAAGCGCAGAGGTTGGACATTACCTTCAACTTGCCAAGGTTGTGCCACCCATTATTATTATTTTGATACTGCACTAATACCTGAAGAAAAGCACATTAACATGAAAATTGAGTTAAATTTAAGGAAAGGAAAGCTGAATTTATTTGGTACTGCAATACGTATTATGATAAAAAATAAACCAATTATTTATTTTT